AGAATGCTGCTTGGCCTGCTGTGTTCATCCAGCTCTACACCTTGTTATCTCTGGCTGTTTCATTGTTCCAGTTTATGGGTACAGCACTCAGAACCGCACAGATTCACACACAGCACATGTCCTGATGTGCAAATAAGCTCATCCTGACATGAGGCTAATTCTTCAGCTCGACGTATCTCTCTCAGACCAAGCTGATAACGGCGTCCTCTCTCTGTGTCTCCCTGCAGTGCAGTGTATCCTGAACACTCCGGAATTTTTTGCAGACAAGTTATCCCAAATGCAGGTAAAATATGTCAACTTCTGAAACCTCTGTCAGCCCTGAGTACACACAGCTAGTGGGGAATGTAATCTGACATGTATGCTCTCTACAGGGAGGTTTGAAGAAGGATGTTTTGACAAGGATCATGGTGTCTCGCTCAGAAATTGACCTGCTCTACATCAGGAAAGAGTTTAAGAAGAAGACTGGAAAATCCCTGCAGCAATTTATTATTGTAAGTATCTCTCAGTCTATCACCTTGCTGCATGGTAACCCAGCCACATAGCCACCAACTTACATTGCTGCATTTTTTCTTATGATGTGGAGGTGCCGGTGTTGGACTGGGGTGGGCAAAGTGAGAAGTCTTACGACACCAGGTTGTAGTCCAACAGGTTGATTTGAAAACACAAGCTTTTGGAGCGCTGCTCCTTCAAGCATTTCACCTGATGAAGAGGCTATGCTCCGAAAGCTTGTGATTTCAAATAAACCTGTTGGACTATAATCTGGTGTTGTGTGACTTCTGACTTTTTTCTTAGACATTACTGAGGAGTTTGCTGCATCCTGCAACACTTAAGGTGGAAAATCCATTGCATTTCCAGTGAAAGATCTGACAGTGTCAGTATTGTGAGTTTCAGAACAGTTACAGCACGGAAGGAAGCCATTCATTCCATTCTGTCTGCACGGCTCTACAAACAAGTATCATTACCGAAATCCTGACTTTTTCCTCTATCTCTGCACACCGCTTCTATCCAAATAATTATCCACTGAGTGCCTCAATTGAGCCTGTCTCCTCCACAATCCCAGGCAGTGCATTCTATACCCAAACAACTCACTGTGTGGGAAAGTTTTTTTTCTCAAACTACCCTTGCTTCATTTGCACATCACTTTAAATCCATGCCCTCTCGTTCTTGTTCCTTTTATGAATACGAATAGCTTCTCCCTATCAGCTCTATCCATGACTTTTGAAAACCTCTACTAGATCTCCTCTTACTCTTGTTCTGTCCATGGACGACAGCCTTCAATCTATCCTCATCACTGAAGTTTTTCATTTTATACTGCGCGGCAGTGCATCTGCTGGGAGGAGGTTTATCTGTACTGAATGCTGGTGCCTGTACTGGACGGTGTGTTAATTGTTTGGGTCATTGCCTAGCCTGCAGTGTGTGTAATAACAGTTTCTACAGTAGGTCATTGTACATTACAGAATTGCAAAAAAGGAGACCAATTAGCCCATTGTATCTGTTCTGTTCTCAGGATCCCATTTAGACTTTTCCTCTAGTTCCATATTTTTCATGAATTCAATTTTAATAATCCCTGCAAAAGGGTGATATTTAACTATAAGTTATTATTAAAATATAATTCTCTTCTGTTTATGATAATTGATCTTGACAAGTCATTAAAAATGCAGGGAAATTGCAAGTCAGGATGTTCATACTAGAGAACGTGTGTGGGCCGCAGAATGCAAACTGCTTGGCCTGCTATGTTCATCCAGCTCTACACCATGTTATCTCAGATTCTCCAGCATCTGCAGTTCCTACTATCTCTGAGACAGTACCACAGGTTTTACTGTCTATTATGTATACCAGTTACACTGACAAACTTCTCTCTGAACATAGAAACATAGAAAACAGGAGCAGTAGTAGGCCATTAGGCCCTATGAGCCCAATCTGACTTTCATAGCTGGTCATCCAATTCAGTTCCGAAGAAGGGTCACTCGACCTGAAACATTAAGTCTTTTTTTTCTCTCCACAGATACTGCCAGACCTGCTGAGTTTCTCCAGCAATTTCTGTTTTTGTTTCAGATCTTCGGCATCTGCAGTTCTTTTGTTTTAACCAACTCTGTCCACTATTTCCGCTTTCCCCCACACCCTATGATCCCTTTAGCCCTAAGAATTACATCTAACTCTTTGAAAACGTTTTGGCCTCAACCACTTTCTGTGGCAGAGAATTCCACAGGCTCACCACTCTCTGGGTGCACACATTTCTCCTCAGCTTAGTCCTAAATGGCCTACCCCATATCCTTAAGTATGACCCCTCCCCCACCCTGGTTCTGGACTCCCCGGTGTTTGGGAACATCCTTCCTGCGTTTACCCTAATCCTGTTAGAATTTCAGAGGTTCCCATGAAACCAACCCCCCAACCCACCCTTATTATAACCGAACAAAGCAATAGTTCTTTTGTGAAGAAAGTGAGAACAACAGCAACGAGACACTGAAACAAAACAAAGAACTGCAGATAACAAGGTATAGAGCTGGATGAACATAGCAGGCCAAGCAACATCAGAGGAGCAGGAAGGCTGACGTTTCGGGCCTAGACCCTTCTTCAGAAATGGGGGAGGGGAAGGGGGTTCTGAAATAA